TCTACCTCAACTTTGATAAGTTTTACTATAGGCCACAGCAACGCGTGGCAGGGCACAGCTAGTATACATATAGATATCATAGACACACACACACACATATTATAGACTTATAGATATTATTATCTATAAGTCTATAATATATATGTGTGTGTGTGTGTGTGTGTGTGTATGATATCTATATGTATATGACAATCCAGCGAAGACGGAGATCCTTTGGTTGGGTTGCCCGGACGGAGGCGTGATCCGGTTGCCTACCCTGGATGGCGTGACATTATGCCCGTCATCTTTGGTCAAGAGTCTGGGAGTCCTTTTAGACCCTCTGCTGACGATGGAGGCCCAGGCCTCCGCTGCGAGCAGAGCCGCATTTTTCCATCCGCGTCAGGCTAGGCGTCTGGCTCCCTATCTGTCCAGGGACAACCTGGCCACGGTGATCCAGGCTGCGGTCATCTCAAGGCTGGACTACTGTCACGCCCTCTACATAGGCCTGCCTTTATCGGTGATCTGTAAACTTAAACTAGTGCAAAATGCTGCTGCCCAGCTTCTCGCAGGAGTCCCAGCGAGGAGGTATCATATTACTCCAATCTTGCAGCAACTGCACTGGTTGCCAATTGACCACTGGATTACCTTCAAGGTGCTGATTCTTACCTTTAAGGCCTTCTATGGCCTGGGGCCGGAGTACCTGAGGGACCACCTCACCCCCTACCAAACCCCAAGATCACTCCGTTCAGACGATCAGTATCTCCTTGAAGTTCCCAATTTTAAGACCTTTCACCTGATGTCTACTAGGCGTAGAGCATTCACGGTGGTGGCTCCTTACCTGGGGAATGCCTTGCCAGTGGAAACACGAGCTCTCCGAGGTTTACTATTTTTTTGTAGAGCTTGTAAAACGTATTTATTTAGGCTGGCATTTGAATCTTGCTGATTGAAATTTTTCTTTGATTTTAAATGTAATGTATTGCATATGTATGTTGTAAGCCGCTCTGAGCCTTCGGGGAGTGGCGGTATATAAATTCTATTAATAAAATAAATAAATAAATAAATAATGAAACTTTTTGCTTTTTTGAGTGAAGGACATACAATGCTTTAGTTGGTGTCTTGTGTCCAAATTTGGTGTCAATTCGTCCAGTGGTTTTTGAGTTCTGTTAATCTCACAGATGAACATTACATTTATATTTTTATGTAGTTAATAATATAGAGAGACATTTGACATGAGAGATAGCTTTTCTCCTAGAGCTGTGAGTATGCAGAACTCCGTGTTTTTGCATTGATGTTGCATTGGGGGCTGTGTGGTGGTGGTTGGGGTGTGGAGGGACGGGTGTGTTGGTTTTGTGATGTGTGATGTGGAAAGCATTGGATTTGGTTTTGCCATGTACAACAACAATAAAGTTACTCTATAATTCCATTCTATATCATCTTTACTCTCTAAACCAATTATTCGGCATTGCTGAAGGCTTTCATTCATGGTCAGAATCACTTGAGGTTGTCTTGCTTATCTCCAGCTTGAGGTTTTTGGTCTGTATGGCCATGTTCTGGTAGCATTCTCTCCTGATGTTTCGCCTCTCCTGACATTTCTTCAGAGGTCTGTTGGAAGTAAGACAAATGGGGTGTGTATATATATCCCTGTGCAATAATGTCCAGGGCGGGAGAAAGAACTCATAGAATCATAGAATCCTGTTTCCAATATTTTTTATTGAGTTTTCATTAATTAGTGACATCGAAAGAGGGAGAACAATACATAGATAGAAAAGCTTGGAAATATAGGATGTTTGGGTTACAGTGGGTCTTGGAGGGGTGGAACATAAGGAGGGTAAGGAAGGGGGGGTGTGGGGAGAGAAGAGTGGGGGAGGGATATTGGGTGGGAGGGCTAGAGAGTGGGGGGGGGGGATACTTGACACTTCCATTTGGTCCACAGATGGAATGCATATTGTTAAAATACATTTATTAATTCCGGTTCCATATTTTCTATTGTTTGTTTGGCTAATGATTGTTATTAGTTGTCTTTTATTTCTAGATATTCTTTAGATATTCTTTACAGTGGCTCCAGTTGGTCTGTCTTTCCTTGTTTTGGTTCTCCATTAGGCTCGATAGTCTGTCCATATCTATAAATTCAATCACCTTTTTCGTCCATTCCTCCGCCGATGGGATTTCTTCTGTTTTCCACTTTTGGGCTATAAGCATCCTTGCCGCGGATGCAAGGTAGAAGAAGATTTTTTCCTCATTTTCCTTCAGAACGGGGACTGTCATGTTGAGTAGGTAGTATTCAGGCTTCATTTCCAGTTTTGATTTGGTTATTTTTTGTGCGTGTTTATGGACCGTCAGCCAAAATTGTTGGACTCTCTTACATTTCCAGAACATATGATAGTAGCTCCCTGTCTCCTTCTTACACTTCCAACACAATTTGCTGTGATTTTTATTAATTCTAGATAGTATGGCTGGCGTTAAGTGCCATCTATAGAACATCTTATGACAATTTTCTATAATAGATGTGGCTTTAGTAAGTTTGGTTTTCTTTTTCCAGATTTGCTCCCATTCTCTGAGCCATATGGTCTTGCCTATGTCTCTCGCCCATTTGTTCATATTTTCTTTTATCAATTCCTTTTCGTTGTTCCATTCTAATAGGCTTCTATATAGTGTCGTTATCACTTTTTTTTCTTTTTTCATTATCTTATCCCAAGTGGTCTCAGTCTCGGAGAATCCTTTTTTGCAATCCTCCTTATAACGTTCTTTTGCTTGCAGATAGTGGAACCAACACAGTTCTTTGTCTATTTCTCTAAGTTCATCCATTGATTTGAAGCGCCATTGGGTGTTGTCTCTTATTAGAAGTTGGTTATAATTGAGCCATTTTTCCCTAGGTAATTCCTTCTTATGGAAGGCCTCCGATGGTGACACCCATCTGGGCGTTTTAGAGTAGA